GAAATTCGCGTTAATTACATGCATTGTTAATTTCCTATAATAAGGTAAGGCAAAATTTATTTAAGTACTTGTGGCACGAAATTTTTTTTTGCGTTTTCTGGTTGATAGCTGTATTTCAAACTTGAAATAATCGACCGCAGCGCCCGGTAAGTTCCCCTTGAGCATTTTTTTGCGCATCGAAAGTACGATTTGAAGATCTTCGACATCGAGGAGATTTTACACTTCAAAGTCGCCGGCCTTATGTTCTGTCCCGGCTTCGAAGACGGCTGTCGTAAACATATACCACTTGTCAAATCAGGGGAAGATGGCCGATGAAATTGGCCATAGAGAATGCATATAAAGGGGCCTGTTCCCAAACTGGACACGATTGTTCCACATTCTTTTCGGCTGACCTTTCGCAAGCGACGAATGGTTATCTTATTGTTGTTTACTTCATGCGCTTGTGCTTTCCTTATCGGATGAAGATCCTACCAATTGTAGTTTCCATCGTATTTTAATAACAGACACACATCATTTGTAATAAAAGTCAAGCCCTTTCCTGAGCTGACCGATATTCCGCTGTCGCCTGAACAATGCGAAACTTCTGACGGATACTGGCATAAACCAACCTCGAAGGGCCGTGTATTCTCCAAACTTGGGTTTCCGAAAATCCACCCCGCGAGCCATCAATTCCCTATCACAACGACATTGCCATTTTGCTACTTTTAGTTTTTTGAGGGCAGGGGGCCCCTGCCCTCAAAAAACTAAAAGTAGCAAAATGGCAATGTCGTTGTGATAACAGCACTGCAACGAGATAATTTGTGAAACGCAAACATGAATGAACAAGATGGTAGCGAAAATCGATGCATACGCAGTTTCAGTGTACAACACAGATGTTAGTTATTTGCTGATCAGTCTTCACCGAAATCTTCGTTTGATGCACGCGGTTCTCTTTCGTGGGGCTGCATAGTACTGGCATCTTCCACTTCTCCATTACTACTTGATTGCACGTATCACAACGTATACGTCAGGTTACATCGCTATCGGACTTTATTTTAAGTTTATACTCAACGCTGACTATTAGGACAATCGCAGTACTTTTGGAGTACAGGTCATTTGTGGCCCGAGTAGCATCATTTGCGCCCGAGCGGAGCGGAGGTGCAAATGATGCTACGAGGGACACAAATGACAAATAAACTATAGGGGCGACAGAAGTCATGTGATGATCATTATTATCAATGCACATGCTAAATTTGATTTTCAGATATTTTCAGCAGCAAGTGCACTTCATCTTCTTCTCTACCAGTTTTTCAGTCATGTTGCAATATGGCACAGTTACCGTCAGCAATTTGATGTAAAAAATGAGAAATTTTGCAAAGTCTCTGAAAAATCCATCGGCTGTTCAACACTTTTACATCTCAAAAACTTATTCGCATACGAAAAAGAGCTTGTCAGGGTTTTGGAATTCAATGCAGGTGTGCATATGGATTTATTTACATACTTCTGAGTCTTTTGTGTCCTTCTTCATTTATGACACTGTTTTTAATGATAACCTACAGAGGAAAATGAGAACTTTTGACTAATAGTTTATCTCGGATTGCACTATTCAACAAGGTAAGTTTTCTGGGGAATTTTTCAGTTATTGACTTTGACACTTACTGAAGCTTACTTACGCTACTGGCAAAGCGTTATGGATTCGCAAATCTCGTACGACTCTCAGGACAAAGGTTTGATAACGGGTATGATTTTATTTTTTCTAATAAACAGAGTGGTTTGAATTAGTCTGAGTAACGCCAGTTTCCCGTTACCCTTTCGTTACCCTTCGCTTCCTGTAAGCGCAAGCGTAAACTCAGCGAACCGAGTTGCTGAACCGGTAGGCGAAATCCTTTCCTTGGAGTGATTTATTAAGATGAAGCAAATGTTTATTTTTCCAACAACATTTTATTAAGCAGTGATTCCTCAAAGTGCTCAAGAAGTTTATTACGCGGAGGGCCTTTTGAAGCCCCCCTAAAAATTAAAAAAAATTAAAAATAAACAGTTTTTTAACATGGAGAAACACTTAGCTAGAGGCTAGATTACAGGTTTTCCACCGAACAACTGAAACAAATAATTCAAATTGAAAATAACTTTATTAAGAATCCCAAATGGCCGAAGGCAAACCAGTTGGCTATATTAGTAGCATGGCCGAGAATTTGAAACTCGGGGCTACCGTGAAACAAATCCAGGTAGTGGTCAGGGCGGGACTTGAACCCGGGAGCGGCAGATCACAAGTCCAACACGCTGACCACTCGACCACGCTGTCTTCTTCTTCTTTTACATTTTCCCCCAAACTTGTTTTCTTTACAAAAAGAACGACATGACCACGGCGTGATTAAGCCCACGATTTTGGTATTTGGTACTGGCTTTGAATATCTGTGATGTCGTTTACACTGAAATCTTAGACGTCCCCCGAAATTAAAACAACAATCTTAATTTTCGTGTGCGGCGACGTGGAATATACCCGTTTAAGGATTTCCCTGGGATATTTTCTTTTCTTCGCATGAAGCATAGGATAAAAGAAAACGTCGGTTGGATGCAAGGTCTTTAGTGCGGAGGAGGAGGAGGCCCCCGTGTGATTTTGGAGTCTAAAGGTCATAAACGGGAATACTTAAGCGTAACGTGTGCCGTAACAAAACGGCCTTTTAACGCTATTTTGGCGACTTTCTTTGTGCCGCGTGTTGTGTTACCATATTTATAGCACAATACGCGGTACAAAGAAAGTCGCCAAAATAGCGGAGGCGACGAGGCAGCTACGGAAATGACACCTTATATTTCTCGCTTTTAGAATCACTTCTCTCTTTTTTTTTTAGATAATTTTTCCTTTTTTATAGCACTCGCTTACGCTCGAATTCAATCGTTTCATTTTAGGTATTTTCGTTAATTACTTTTAGACCCCAAAATCAGACAGTACGCTTGGTTCGCCTGGGCATGTGAATTGAATTAAAGCACAATAGATTAATTAATTATTGATAGTCTCACACATAATCATGGATGATGACCTGTGATTGGCTCCTAAATCCATTTCCGGATATCATACTGGGTGGAACAAAAATTTCCTCTTACCTTCATTCCGTCGCCCAAACCATTTTGCCGCAGTAAAGCAAAATGCGTAGTGCTCGAGCAATATGTTATGAGATTACTTTGGGTCACGTTTTATTCTTAACGAGTGCATTAATGTCTCATCAACTGCGTGGTAAGCAAACGCGACTTGAAAGTTTCTGCTCTCTGAATTATAGCTGCACGGACAGATCAGAGAGTTTGATTGCACAGAAAGGATGGCGTCCCTTCCGGGAGTCATATTTGCCGGTGAGTTATCGGTTTTTAATAGATAGGAAACCATTACAAAGTGACAAATTTACAATACACATCTCTTCAAAGACGCGGAGATGTCAGATGTCTTATTAGCCATATTTCGGCATCGAAGATACACGTAATTTTTTCCCAGTGCTAGATAAACATTTACTGACTATATTTCGCTCTATTGCTGAATACTTTCCGTCTATCAGTATTTGGCGTAATTGAAATACGTGACAACGAATTGAGGCAACTTAACGTGGGTGAAATTAGTACGACTCCACCTTAGCTCGTTGACCTTGCTTGTCTGCCCTGTTGTTTCCACCAGCCAGGCCAAGGAGCTTTGCAGTTTTTAGACGCGTTTGGTGAAGGATAGAAAAGCTAAAGGACAAAGGAGCAAAATGATCGAAATACCAACGACACTCAAAAGGGCTTCATGTTCATTCAAATTCATTTATTTTGAAAAAAGTAGCTTTTGCAGGTAAAAATATCATCTGTGTTGATATCGTGAGCAGATCACGTGCGTGTCGCGTGGCGTAAATATTCTTGGGGCAAAAATTTCTCACGCAAACGGCCCGTGTTTGTACATATCAGGCGAAAATTTCCGAAAATTGTACTTCTTTTTCCTGTATGACAGGGACATTTCATGATAACATCTACTCATTGCGTTTTTAATCACTGTAACGTTTTCTCGATCGAAATTCGTTTGCACATGTCTAAACCTCTGTTACTTTGGCTCGCGCGTGCTTTGACAGACTTATCTTTCCCATCTGAAAGCAATATATCGAAAATATGGAGGGATTGAAACTGACATGGGTGGCAATGGAACAACATTCGGCGAGATTTTCGAAATTTTTTGACCGGGAGCCCCCAACTAAGATTTAAAGTGACCGAAATGTCTAGTCGTGAGGACTTCCTATTTAACTTGCCAGGAGACCGGAAATAAGAAAGGGCATACGCGTTACTCCTTAACAAAGGAAGTTCGGTATTGTAATACCGGATGTGCTTAACATGTTTGTTACCCTTTTAAAATCTCCACTGTAAAAAAATTCATACATATATATTTCAAAATGGACAGAAGAAAGTTAGACCAATTGCTAGGGTGGCAATAATTAGGTATTCATGAGTTTAAAAACCGTTTGACAACAACCTGCTGTATGTAATCCTCCTTAATTCACTCGCGTGTTTAGGCATTCGTTACTTGTTACAGTATTTTTGTATCATGATTTTCTCTAAACATTGACTCAAATTTCGGCTTCTTTTCGAGGCTTATGTCCAGCTCCCCTTCCCTTCTCGTTTGAAAGAAAAATCCAGAAATAGGTCGAGTGAGTTCTGTGTTCTTTTTTAGACGAGTGTGGGCAAGCATAGCCTCTGCGACAGTCACGTGTACAACAGCCTTCATTCATATCTATTTATTCCTTTCTTGGAATTTCGCTTTCGCACCGTAAAAAGCTGAAAAACGTAATAACATCTTTACTCTTAGAATATTAACTCAGCCCCCTCAGCAAATCCTTTAGAAATATGTTTACCTGTGTCTAAACCCTTACTGATCTCACCATTTTTGTCGCAGTGTATTTACTTATTGATCGCGATGTTGCTTTTAACTCTGCAATCCGTTGGTGTGTCCATAGAAACTAATCCATCTCACACCATCACTACTGAATTGAACATTAAAGATTTAGGAGTAAAAGAAATAATCGCTAACTTGAGTAGCTCTTCATTGTTCGACAAATTTCCCTGTCCTTACCGTACTATAAATGTTGACAAAAGTATGAGAGAGTATGCTGACTGAAGAACCGCCTCCCGGTAAGCTCAATAGTAGAGCGCTGGACTGTTGTGCGCGTGCGGGAGGTCGAGGGTTCGTGCCCCGGCCGGACTAACACTCAAGGTCTTAAAATAATTGAGAAGAATTTGCTACCTTTCTATAACATCAAGAAATGGTTAGATATTCTAGTCTTCTTATGGTTAGATATTCTAGTCTTATTATTCTAGGGACGAATAAATGGAGGACCCGTCTCCTGCAGGGTTAGGAGTAGGAGACGTTAATTTCCCACGCACGAGATTACTTTGTGATGGATGTCCTCCTCTGGGGCGGGATGCAGGATGGGTGGGTTTTGTTGGAGCTTTAACCTCGTTGGGGACCCATGTCCTATTGTTTCTGCTCCAGTACTTGGTACAAATCCTCAATTAAAAAATTTAAAAATAATTAAATAAATAACGATGTAAAAGGTGATTGGCTCTGTCCATTTCAGACCAGAAGGATAGGTTCATCATGCCTGCTTGGGAATATTCCCTTTTTTCTCTTGAGAAAATATTGCTTTAGCTCTCTTTTTTCTCGAGGCCAATAAGTTTTCATACAATATTCGATATCATATTGAACAAAAACTACAACCGAAAGTGTTACCTATCACGTGAATTTCGCACAGTTTGAGGATTAGACCACTTAATCTTGATTCGATATGTAACGTGAAACTGAAAGTGCTTATATAAGAAAGTTATAGAATACAAGTCAAAGGTCATTCAGAAATAGATCAGACGAGAGGTTTTAAAGTTCTTAGAATTTTTTTGAATATATTGTTTGTAAAAAAATTCCATTTATGCTTGTCGTAATACCCATTCAGTGTGCTTGCTCAGCCTCCATCTAATCCCACACAAAAAAATAATTTTCCATCAACCATTACGTGATTCATCCTCGCTATAGTTTGCCAAATTTAAATTCTGGCTAACCTTGCTTGTAATCAGTTGTAAAAGATAGCGTCCTGCAGGACACTGAATCTGTCACAAGGCCTAGCGAAATCTAGCTTCGAGCACTCGCTTTGGTCACCGAAAAACTTTCTACGGGATCCAAAGTTACCATTTAACACTGCTGAACAGGAAGCTGGACCAGATGCTTTTAATTCACTCGGTAAACTCACCCGTCGTATCCTTCTTACGATTGGAGTTTGGTCAGCGTCTCTGTATTTCATTGCGACCGACGCCACACGCAAAATATCGCATTCTTTCCATGAATAAATAGATAAAAAACATATACCCAAAGTAAAAAGAGCGGAGGCTAAATATGAATTTTCCTGACTTTATCACAACAGAGCAAAATACAATATTTGAAAAAAAAATACAATATCCTAAAACAAACACTTGACCTAAGACTTTCGCAGGAGGGTAATTAAAAGAATGTCTTTCAAACACTAATTCAATTTCAATACCAAAGTTAAGAGTTGTTGATTAGCCTTAAGGCCTATTCGAACTAGCAGACAAAACTAGAATTGTCCCGATAAAAGGAAGGGAAAATTTTTTGTCTCCTCTGTTGCATCCGCTCTGAAAAGGCCGAGGCTGTTGACTCTGTCAAATTCGGTTAACAGCCAAAAATAACACCTTTATTATATTTCACCGTAATTTTATTCAATTTAGCTTTCCTTTCCCTTTGCTTTGAGTGGGCACTTCTGGATCTTGTGCCGTATCTACTGCTTCACTGTTGGACTGACAAAATGGCGACTAGAAAATCACTCCACCATTGTATCTTGCTCCGGCTGCATCCAGCGGCTGACCAGCTCATAAGACTGGCCGCTTTAATTTGCCTAAGGATTCAAATTCCATTTACCAAGATTCATCTTATGTTATTTGGAGTTGTAAAATCCGCGAGTTTCGCAAAGAAAGACAATTACTGCAATCTTTTGGTAAACTAAACTCAGTTCGATTACCACACTGGTGGTGGCGTTTACGACGAATGATCGACAAGTTTATCACGGTTTTGTTTATTTAGTCCATTTTGTTGGCGGTGCGTCTGAAAATTTGTCCGCTTCGACCAAAATTTGTCAAGTCGCGACAAACCACTCGCACTTGTAAATTGTTGGTGATGGCAGAAAATTTGTCTAAATAAACGATTTTGTGGCTAGTGCGGATAGACCCGCTTAGAAAACAAGAGCTCTGTGGGGACCTTAGATGATCTTTAAGACTGAGTTCACATTTTCCACAACTGAAAGCAATTTCCAATCCGATAAAATTTTCTATGTTACCAAGCTGAGAGAAGGAGTTGTCCTACTGTTTATTTTACTCTAGTGACTATTCCTTAATAATCACATGGTGGAAATTGATTCAAAAATTCTCCCAACAGTTATTTCGCTGGTGGATTATTTATTTCTTGGGTACTCGTGGCTAACGCATTTAGACATAAAATAGGTGCTCTAAAATGTCAGCTACTTGTTTAATTAAATACGAACTGCAGCTGCTGTAAATTTGATCTTCAGGCCAAGCGATCGAAACCTAAAATAACTTATGATCTCTCTATTACTTGGGTTTATTTATTAAAAGAGATAGTTTCTATACAACCCAGCAATAGGAGTGCATGGAATTCTACTGATAGTCGGGATCTTATCAATCATTACGAGTGCACATCGCAGAATAGTGCCCTTTATTATCGTAAAAGCAAAACCCAAGTTTCTACAAACACGATTCAGAAGGTTTTCAAAAAGGTTAATTTAACTAAGAGCTAACGAGAACTCTAATTAAAAAGAAGCAAACTCCGTAAAACGCGGGAAAACACGACTGACCCTTAGAAAAAAAAAATGGCAGGAGTTCTCCAGCCGGACGAGCACAGAGCTCACTGAAGCATTGAATGGAATCCCAGGTCACTTTCGACTCGATCAAAATCAACCTGTTAATATATTATCTGATTTGTTTTTAATGAATTTTTAGATTCAATCTACCAAGATCTCGAGCTCTGCAGACATACGGCTTGTGGAAGACATAATAAGTAAGTCCTGTTTAACTTGATCAATGCACGAATTTCCTTCTTCCTGTCTGCTTTTTTCTTATACTTTTTTCGTACTTCTTTTTATTTATTTACTCTAGTTCGTTTTTTTGGTTCTGAATATCCGTTTGTTTGTTTATAATCTTTTTACTTTTTTGTCAGCCTTTGAGATTTTGCTATCCGACAGTGAGTTTGAAAACTCACTGCTAGACAGATTGTGATGGAATTGAATCAATGAATGTGCTGGCAGCTCAGAAATTAAAATTGCTGAGATCAGCGAAAGCTAAACTTTAATCTCCCGTAGTGATTTACCCCTTCATGTTAAGCATGGTACTCAAAAGCCGAAGGATAATTGCTCCTGGGCAGTTTTTCTTAATATTGGAAAAAGATGTACCAACTACTAAATCTAAAGGTTTCTACTGGAGTTTTATCGTAGATCTAGGGGTATACACCAACAATAAAAAAGGATTTTAGGTTAAATTTGTATCGTCTTCATTTATAGTGGATGGAAACATCGTCGGAATGATGCATTTGGATGTGAAGCAAGTCAGCACGGATTCTCAAAGCCCGCTTAAAATAAGCTTTGACTCGGGCACTGGAATTGTATCAGGCCACTTTTTCAACTTCTACGACCATAAGCCAACGTTTAAACTGGACGCTAAAGACCAGACATCAATTTTACTCACCGGTGGGTCGTTGACAGCGCCATACGTCATGGATCAATTTCATTTCCATATCTATTGCACGAGGGCGGAAGCTGAGCTCAACACACTGGATCAGGTCCAGGTCCCTGGTGAGGTAAACGAAAGAACTACCACTTTGTTACAAACCTGAAAAATATCGTTAGTGGGCATATTTAAAGATACATATTCCTACTCTGTATTATTTATTTGCAGTTGCACTTAGTGTTCTTCCGGAGGAAATATCAGTCTTACAACAAGGCTATGCACAAATTTCAAGATGGGCTAGCCGTGATTTCAATTTACTTAGAGGTCAGTAATATTTTTTCATAAAATGAGTCCTGCATTCCTCGGGTTTAAACTTGATTACCAAGTTGTAAATTGCCTAAGAAAACCTGTGGCTTCGAAAAACTGTTGGCTTATTCAAGATGCATAACGTCCATAAGATATTTAGTTTTCCTTCGGAAGCATTTTTAGTTACCTGCCAAAATGAAATTTAAATTCTGTTAATTTCGAAAGGAAAAAAAGTTGTTGAGAACTTCTCATCTCTATTTACTCCTCTCCTCGTGCAAAAGAAGTGTCCTCTGAGGGTTCTCTAACTGCTTAAGCTTCCCCTCCCCTCACCACCACCCAGGTGCCTAAGTCGGTCGTGCTGGATAAAGGCACTTTTTTCAATGCGGTGAAACTGCTTTTGGTTTTTCAAGCCTCTCCTTCTTTGTTTTAAACATCGTGCGAAAACAGCAAGATTACGCGCTCACTACAAGCGAATATGAGCTCTTGTTGCAAGTAAAAATTAAACTAAGCCTATGTGGGAGATTTTCCAATTTTGATAAAATGTATATTTAGACGAGGCGGGTGCAACTTAAAGATTGTCTTATCGGTCCCGGATGGTTTTTCTTTGGGAACAACTGCTTCTACCTGGTTAACTCTAACCAGCAGTAAGTACCCTCAAATTTGAAAGAAAAATAGAACCTGGCAAGCTTTCTTAGAGATCCTTGAAACGTTAGAGATCATATCGACTTCCTATGATTCTTATTCAAGAATGAACATGTGCGAGAACTCGTGTCTAACTTCAACTCTTCAATTAAATTGGCTTTGTAGGTCGGAGAGGACTTCAACATCACTGACAGCGATGATCAAATAGCATACTTCTTGTCTTACGTCGATTACATTTCACAAAATGAAAGTAAGAATTGTATTACGAATTATATCTTCGTATATGGACATCATCATGTACTTTGGTTTAAGGCCAAGTCGTCTAATAGTCATCACGCTCGGAACCTGAGTCATGTTGCCCGAAATTTTAGTCGCGTCACCCGAAAAAGAAAAAGTCAAATTGCCCGAAGAAAAATGTTTAAAAGATCCGATTTAAAGACTGTAAATTGGGCAAGTTGAGAAATCTTTATCACTAACAACACAGATGTACCACGTTCGCGCTTAGGGGTAAGTGTTGAAATACGCGTTTCCCACGAGAGACGGGATGGTCCACAGGTTATCGCGATGGGCTCTGGATCAACAGATCCGAGTTTTAAGCCCGGACGGGATCGCTGCGTAGTGTCGTCCCACTTAAATTCACAATACCTCTCTCCAATACCAGACAATACCAGATACCTCACAATACCAGAACTACGAATGAGTGCCTTAATCTTAAGTCGCACTGTCCGCTAAATGTTCTGGAGGAGTCATTGCTAGGTTGGATACCTTCGTCTAACGTTTGAGAATTCCCCTCCCCACCCCCACAACTTACTTGTAACATCATTGGGTATGTACTTGTCCTTTATTTTTTTCTAAGAACGTACCCAAACCCTTATTTAAGAATACAATTTTTCTTCTTGCTAGATCACACGGTGCCAACAACTACGTCAGTCAAACAATTAGCGGCCCCTGTTTTAAAGGAGCATGCTCAGTACGATGCGTACCGTGGAAAATTAGTAGAACCTATCCAATGTAGTGATTGTGTGGACGTTCTTGTGATGAAAGAACGATTTAAATTGTCCGTTAAACAGGTAAAATATACTTGTTAGACTGCAACTTTATGACGTCTATATATTGTGACTGAATGGATATTAATAGCTGCGTAGCTGATGACTTCTTTAGCGCTCCATGAAACCAAAGGTAGCGGAGGTCAAAAGGCGAGCAGCGGAGCTTCGTTGAAAACCATCAGATCCTTGGACGTTCAAAGCTTCAGGGCGCGCAAATAAGTGCTAAGATAACTGGGATGCCCGCGTCTGAACACGATTGTAGTTGTTTACGTGTTTTGTTTTTTTTTATCGGTTTTCTTTTATGGTTTTTTTTTTCTAAAACTGGCCAATAGAACAGTGTTCACTTAATTTCTACTAGCGTAAGGCGTTAAGGCAGGGGAGCTAAAATTCTCTTACAAACAAAAGATCATTCCTTCTCAGTAAGTCAGTTTTATGTTGTCTGAAATAATCGTTATTACCAATGATTCCATACCGATGCAACCGACGTTTCGTCCTTAACAGCTCGTTTAGGGTATGACCAGGAGAGGTCCACTGAGAACAGATACATAAAAATATTTCTCAGAGAAATACGCAGTGGAGAGTACGCAATGCAAATGTTTTTCTTTAAAAAAAAGACGATTAGTAGGTGCCCTGAGCTGTCATAGTCTTGTATGCCATGTTAGGAAAATAAAGTTTTATCTTCTCTTGTTTTTATTCGATTAATTTTTCTGTTATCTTCGTTTATTGACCAGTTAACTGAATTCAGGAAAGCACCGCACTGTGTGGAAAATGACTGGGGGTTTTAAGATCTGGTAGGTGAAGAATTTGTGATAGTTGAATGAAGTAACATTTTGAACCGGTATACCTTCTTTTCAACTGTAAAACAACCTCAGATACCTAAATTGCATCACAATGGATGCAAGACGGAGCAAATAAACAAGTCGCTATGTGTTACAGCTTTGCGACTAATCGGATGAGAGGATGATGCGCGTTGTCAATTACTAGTTTTTACACAGCAAAATCAAACACAAGCGATACTTCTGATATTAGATGGCCAGTCAATGTCATATCTCAAACTTTAGTGTAGCTTTTTTGAATGGAATGTAGAGGACTCTGTCTGAAGAAC